AACGCGTTTCAGAAAGACGGGGCATAGAGGAGAAACAATAATGTACAGTATGTGGAAAATAATGTGTTTTTTTAACCTTAAACCGCATAAACACATTTCATTACACCAAATACACAACATAATGTTCTTTTTAGCAGCATCATATGACCCCTTTAAAGTATGAGTGAACTATTGGGCATCACATTAATATCACATTATGTATTTGTATTTTGGTTTGTAGTGGTTTTAAGAAAGTAACTTGAAATGAAATGAGTATTAATTATTAAATTAGTTTTAAATATTATTAATAAAGTAACCTTAGAGAAATAATTAGTAATTCAAAGTAAACTGCAGTAATTTGTACTCACTTTGCCTGGACTTTATATGATTATTAATGAACTGTGAACACTGGTAATGTTTTCTATCACTTTTAATTAAACTTTCTAGATGAAGTATCTTACTGTGTGTCATTGTGTTTGTTAGTGACTTACATTGTAGGAGATGCTCTCTGGTCCCGGGAACAATGTTACTGTGAGGGACTGAAAATAACAGATCGAAACACTCAGAGAGAAAATAATACCTGCATTCATTCCTTAGTCATTTCTCACATGCTCTAAGATTTTCTATATGATATTAGATTATTTTTGTCTCATTACAGAGAGCAGTTGAATCTGTAATATTTTACCAGATAGATTTTTCATCTCCTCTTTGCAGAAACCCTCCAGTTTGTGTCTCAGCTGACCGACAGATTCTCTCACGCCATCAAAAGAAACGAGGAAACGGACAGAGATGTTTTCTGTAGATTCAGGAGGAGCTGAGAAAGACTGAAGACGCTACAGGAATAAAAACAAATAAACCAGAAAAAAAATCTAAGAAGAACATAACCAAACGCAAAGATACTGTACACTACATACACTAATAGACATATTTAATAATAGCTTCCACAGTCACTTTTGAAGTTCAGGCAAATATGACCTGGATAATAAAATAATAGTTAAAAATAACTGTTGTCCATCAACCAATTTTTCACTAATGAAATATCTAGCTACCCACAAAATGAAATAAATGATGAAATGTGAATAAAGATTTACGCTCTCATGAGGCATCACAGAGGAGACGTTTTTAAACATAATTAGGTTGGCTTTCTCTGATCTGTTATTTAAGCTTCTTATTGTTCTTATGAGACTACAATTTCTGAATGCGGCTCCTCCTGGAGCTTTCAAGCTAGAACCACCAAACTCAGCCCAGCTCTTCAGACTGATCTGACTCGGGCTGCTATATCTTTTCAGACTGATCCGACTTTTGTACAAGATTAAAAATCATAAAACTCCCATAGACTTACATTGACGGAATGTTCCAATCTAAACACACAGAAGGGAAGTCTGATGGAGTCTAATGGGCTTCAATGTACTATTTCTAATCCATTCAAACTCATCTATCTAATACTTCTAAACTATCTATCTATCCTAGCGATATGCTAATCCTGCTAGAAACGTACTAGCAACATGCTAGTAAACTTGCTAATCATGCTACCAACATGCTAGTTACTTGCTAATCATGCGACCATCATGCTAGTTACTTGCTAATCATGCTAGCACATGCTAATCGTGCTAGAAACATGCTAGCAACATGGTAATCATGCTACAAACATGCTAGCTAAATGCTAGTAACTTGCTAATCATGCTAGCAAAACATGCTAGAAACATGATAGTCACTTGCTAATCATGCTAGCAAGATTTCAATTATATTTGCTAGAGTCTGTAACGGCCAAAACTATGTTTTTGCATCATCACATTATAGGTGTGCCCTTTAAGAGACTGATCACTTAACTTGTAACGCGCGCTATGTGGTGATGACGTAGAAGGACTACGTGACTGTGTAATGAGAACCACTATGGATGATAAGTTTGCTCTGCCTTCTTGTTATTACTTTGTCTTTAACGCCAAGAAAGAGTTAATCTCTAATGTATGAGAGGAGCGCGTTGCCGTGTACCAGCCATTAAATGTGTGGGACCCCAACTTTTCGTTTTCCATCTCTTTCATTTCATGGGTTTAATGAGGTATCCGAGTCAAAGCGTTACAAGTCTTGGCTCATCTGAACATTCCGTCAAACTCCAACTGTCAAAATTCTAATCTAAACACACTGAAAGCCCTTTAGACTCAATCAGACTTCCCTTCTATGTACTATTTCTAATCCATTCAAACTCATCTATGCAAACATGCTAGCAACATGCTAGTAACATGCAAATAATGCTAGCAACTTGCTAATCATGCTAGCAACATGCTAGTAGCACGCTAATCATGCTAACGACATGCTAGTAACTTGCTAATCACACTAGCAACATGCTAGTAACTGCTAATCATGCTAGAAATGTTAGTTACTTGTTAATCATGTTACCAACATGCTAGTATCTTGTTAATCATGCTAGAAACATGCTAGCAAAATGCTAGTAACATTCTAATCATGTTAACAACATGCTAGTTACTATGCTAGTATCTATCTATCTATCCTAGCGACATGCCAATCATGCTACAAACATGCTAGTCACTTGCTAATCATGTTAGAAAAATGCTAACAACATGGTAATCATGCTAGAAACAGGCTAGTAACATGCTAATCATGCTAGAAAAATGTTAGCAACATGATAAGAATGCTAGCAAACATGTTAGTTACTTACTAATCATGCAAACAAAATGCTAGTAACTTGCAAATCATGCTAGAAAAATGCTAGCAACATGCTAATAATGATAGTGACATGACAGTAAATGGCTAATAATGCTAGCAACATGCCAGTAACTTGCTAATCATGCTAACGACATGCTAGTTACTTGCTAGTCATGCTAGCAAAATGCTTATCATTTGCTTATCTTGCTAGTAACATGCTAATCATGCTGGAAACATGCTAGCGACATGCTAGTAATTTGCTAATCATGCCAGCAATATGCTAGTAACAGGTTAATCATGTTAAACCTGCTAATTATGCTAGAAACTAAAGATAGATTAGTTAGATCTAATCTATCTAAATTTTCTAACTTCAGGCTTTTACAACTGCTTTAAACTTTCAGGCTAGGCTTTTTTAAGCCAACCTAAAGTTTGTCTTGACAAACTTTTTTATCTAGTCATAACTATGATTTTAGTGACTCAAAATTCGCAAATTAAAATGCACAATCATAATGGATAATAGTATCTGTTATTAGCACGTTTCATTAGGTGACCTCATTACTGCAGTGTAGCTGAGTGAAGCCAGACCACATGTCTGTCTGCAGAATGATGCTTATTGTATCCTCAATCGAACTGTGTGGCTCAGATAATCACTGATAATTAAAGACTTTAACAGACTTTAACAGCAGATCTTGCTAAAATCCATGTGTTTTCTCTCTAGAACTCCTTTACCTGCAGGAACTGGATGTGATCGTCTGTGAGTGAGAGCTGCTCCAGCTCAGCGTTTCTCCTCTTCAGATCTTCAATCTCCTGCTCCAGTCGCTCCATTTGTCCTTCAGCTCGACTCACTGCAGTCTTTTCCTGATCTCTGATCCGCTGTGTCACCTCAGAGCGGCTTCTCTCAATGGAGCGGATGAGCTCAGCGAAGATCCTCTCACTGTCCTCCACTGCTGTCTGTGCAGAGCGCTGTTAGACACACATCACAATCAGCTCTTACTGCTTCCTCACAGCGGCTTCAGTGGGACTGAAAGAGGAGAGTCCAACTGAGTCTCAAACTTCCCTTCTTCTCCAAACTCACCTTATGAGCCTCCACAGCCTCTCTCAGCTGCTGGAGATCTTTCTGTCTCTGCTGGATTCTCTGCTGGAGTTTTCTCTGTGTCTCCTTCAAGTGTTTCTTTAGGATAAATTAAAAAAAGTCAACCTGAGACAAATACATAAATGATCATTTAAAATGTTCTACTTTTCCTAAAGCAGGGCATATATAATTATTACTGTCATCATCATTATTCTACAATGATGAATTAACGTAAAGCAGAAATGGACATTCATACGGTGGCCGAGAAGTGCAAAGCAAATCACAAGTCTAAAAAACAAAATAACAATTTAGAAAGCACAACAACAATTCAGAAAACATTATAAGAAGTCAGTAACACAATGACAAATCAGACAAACCGGAAGAGGTAGGTATAATTTGAGATGGCGCCATTGGTTTGGGATTACTCACCGCTGAGTGGACGAGACATCTGTCAATCACCGTATACAGAGAAGAACCAGCCGAAGAACAGCAGAGTCGTGGTAGAAAGTGCGGAGATGGTATTACAGTAGCTCAGTTTAAATGTATTGTATGAATTGCCCTCACTATGGAATGAAAAATACGGAGTGTATATTTACATTTAGTTAAAAGTGGCTGTAAATCATCAGTTCCAGTGGCGCAGATGGATAAGTGTGTCATTGGCTTTTTGACGCGATTGACCCGGGTTCGATTCCGTCTTTTGCCGAACTTTTTTCCCTCCCTTTTCAAATCTCGTATTAGCAATGGATTCTATTTACACTAAGTGAAAATAGCAGTATTTTTAGCAATATGCTATTTACACTAAGTGCAAATACATATTTACACTATGTTAAAATAGCAGTATTTCTACTATCAAGTATACTACTTGTTGCAAATAGTGGCAATTATCTGCACTTCAGTATTGTAGTACATTATAAAACAGTATGCAATAATAACGTATTGAGTGTAAATTATAATTTTAATTATTAAACGGATGCCACCTTATTGGCACAATAAAGCCACTTTAAACTAAATGTAAATAGACACTCCGTATTTTTCATTCCATAGTAAGGGCAATTCATACAATACATTTAAACTGAGCTACTTTAATACCATCTCTGAACTTTCTACCACGACTGTTCTTCGGCTGGTTCTTGCTGTATACGTTGATTGACAGATGTCTCGTCCACTCAGCGGTGAGTAATCTCAAACCAATGGCGCTGTCTCAAACTATACCTACCTCTTCCGGTTTGTCTGATTTGTCGTTGTGTTTTCTGACTTGTTAATTTGTTTTCGGATTTGTCGTTGTGTTTTCTGATAATTTTGTGTTTTGTAATTTGTTCTTTTGTTTTCAGATTTGTGATTTGCTTTGCAATTCTCGGCCACCGTACATTCAAACTGAATGCAATTTGCAGCAAAAAAGAAACTCGTGTTTAGTTAAGAGTCGGGGACTTGAGCGATGTGACAAAGGTGAGCAAAGTTCATCTTGTGCTGAAATGCACAGAGCCGTCATGTAGTAACTCCCAGTGGGACTGAAGATCACATGATGCACTCATGATACAGCTGGATACTGCAGTGAGCAGGAGCGCTTGAAGAGTCAGCATTAAAACATCAATGTGTCTAATTCCAGTTCATACCTCTTTCTCTGTCCTCTCTGCTGCAGTCGATACAGTCTCATGGGTTTTATGTTCTTCCATTGCACACATCATGCAAACACACTGCTGGTCAGTACGACAGAAAACCTCCAGAAGCTTATTATGTTGACAGCAGATCATCTGCTGCAGTCGTCCAGTGGCATCAGTCACTTTGTGTCTCTTTCCTGAGCGAAACTCCTCATGACGCTCAAAGTGAGTTTGACAGTAAGACTCCAGACACACCAGACAGGACTTGACGGCTTTGAGTTTTCTCCCAGTACAGATGTCACACTCCACGTCTCCAGGTGGAGCAGGAACAGCAGCTTTTAGTTCGGTCTTCTTCAGTTTCTCCACCACTTCAGCCAGCATGGTGTTTTTAGCTAAAGCAGGTCTTGGACTGAAGGTCTGTCTGCACTGAGGGCAGCTGTAGACTCTCTTCTGATCCTCTTGATCCCAGCAGTCTGTAATGCAGCTCATACAGTAACTGTGTCCACAGGGAATGGTCACTGGATCCTTCAGGAGATCCAGACACACTGGACAGATGAACTGCTCCTCTGAAACAGTGGCTTCAGCCATTTCACTGCATCTACACCAATACATATAACAGCAGATCAGTTTCAGTTTCTTTTGACCGAGCTTCCTGGTTCTGTATTTGAGAGAGGTGTGCAAAACAGGCGTGTCTGTAAACAACTCACACACTGAAGTGTCCACTAGGTGTCAGCCTCATGCAGGAACTGTTAAAGTGTATAATACCCTCGTCTTTGAGGGTGATAACGGTGATAGAAACAAGCTTGATGATGTACTAGCCACATTTACTGTCTTCCTGCATTAAACATTGTTTGATAGTTTCTTAACTGACCTGAGACTCAAAGCAAAGACATGCAACTTACAGCTCGACGATTGAATGATTAAAGATCAGATTGTTTTTGGCATTTAGTGATGCAAAGGTCAGACAACGTTTGTTGAGAGAAACGAAGCTTGCAAGAGGCAATTAAAATCTGCCAGGCCAGTGGACTTGTCCAGAATCACGTCAAATCGGGTGGTAAGATGATGCCAAAGAGCGTGACTGCAAGTGCAGAGCAGATGCCGTGCCCGTGATCGGTGCCAAACGCTTCAGAGGAAAGCACCGCACAGAGCAGGATAGCTGTAAGCGCCGTGGTACCGAGCATCGGCCTGAACAATGTCAGCATATGGAAAACACTGTGTAAAGTGTAATGGTAAAACTCATTTAGCCAAACAATGGTTTTCTAAAGGAAAAGTGAATCAAAAAGAGCATTTGGCGGCATGGTAACCTGGGATCGGAGACAATCCAAAGTGCGCAGTCATCAGTTAATGTAGGGGAGAATGGGGTATGAGCTGTAACACCCCCAGTTCCACCAATCAGGGATAAGACAGGAGTCACATTATCAGTGTGTGTGTACCCACCAGAGTTGCCAAGTCCGCGTATTATACGCGACTTTGGACTTATTTTTTTTGTAAAGTTGCGTGAAACAAATCCGGATTTTTGGACTTGTTTTAAAAAAATATGGTTTCTTCGTTTCTTTTCATTTATGTTCACTGTATTCTCCAGTGCATTGATTGACACTCTGTCTGCTCACATTTAATAGCCAATCAGTGCAAAAATAGAAGTGCTGTAGCATAATGTGCCAAATATTCCGCCCCCGGGGCCGGGCCCCTCCTCACGCGCCTTCTTTTTGAACGTGATTTTTCTTCAAAGAGGGATTGGAGAAAAATCAGGTTCAAAAAAAGGCGCGTGACGCTGTAATCCAAGCGATGATTAGACTAGAGGGGTGGGGTGACTTTTTTTTTTATAAGGTAGCCAAATTTTTTTTTTTTTTTACAATGTTTTTGTAATGCATTAATTATCACGCGCTGCGCAGTTAATGTAGGGGAGAATGGGGTATGAGCTGTAACACCCCCAGTTCCACCAATCAGGGATAAGACAGGAGTCACATTATCAGTGTGTGTGTACCCACCAGAGTTGCCAAGTCCGCGTATTATACGCGACTTTGGACTTATTTTTTTTGTAAAGTTGCGTGAAACAAATCCGGATTTTTGGACTTGTTTTAAAAAAATATGGTTTCTTCGTTTCTTTTCATTTATGTTCACTGTATTCTCCAGTGCATTGATTGACACTCTGTCTGCTCACATTTAATAGCCAATCAGTGCAAAAATAGAAGTGCTGTAGCATAATGTGCCAAATATTCCGCCCCCGGGGCCGGGCCCCTCCTCACGCGCCTTCTTTTTGAACGTGATTTTTCTTCAAAGAGGGATTGGAGAAAAATCAGGTTCAAAAAAAGGCGCGTGACGCTGTAATCCAAGCGATGATTAGACTAGAGGGGTGGGGTGACTTTTTTTTTTATAAGGTAGCCAAATTTTTTTTTTTTTTTACAATGTTTTTGTAATGCATTAATTATCACGCGCTGTAATAGAAAAAATAAACAAGTAGGCCTATACTAATACTAAGAGTAAATATGGTTCAAATAGCCAATATTTTAGTAGGCTCTATGTTACAGCTCCCCTTTGAAGCTCTTGTGTTTTTCTCCTTTTCCATCTCTCCAATCCTATTCTGCTTACAGGTGATTGGAGATGAGTTTTGTTCCATGCTTTGCTGCAGTTTGCTGATTTTTGTAAAATAACTTGTGTTTTTGCTTTTCAGATAAAAGGGTAGTTTCTACGGAGCCCCTAAAGGGACATGGTGGTGGAAAAAAATCAGATTAAGTGAAAAAATTTGGGGTGGGAGGAAAAAATATTTGTCAGATTTTTTGCGTTCTCTTCGCAAAACTTTTGCGTTCTCTAAATGCTTAATTAATGGACTAAGATAGTGGTATAAAAAGGCCAAATTCGGTATGCAGTTTATTAATAAATTATACATGAAAGCAGGTAAGAACAGAAGCGTTTTCCTCCCATAAAGAAAATGCGGCTTAATGAAGACGGTGATAAAAAAAGACCAAATATGCTTTAGAACTTATAAAAAATATATTCTGTGTACATGCAAGCAGATGAGCCCATGAGCTGAATTTCATGATAAGCGTTTTCTTCCCCATAGAAAACCGCGCTTAATGTGGCTTAATATAAGGAGACAGTGATATAAAAAGCCCAAATTTTATATTTTATTAAAAATATACTACAGGCAATCAATGCAGTTATCCATTAAAGCCAGTGGTTCTCAAATCTTTTACAATGGCGTACCCCCTGGGCATTTAGCCTAACATTCTTCTGAGGACCCCCACTTAGACCGCAGTCACACCTTTTCCATTAAGGGACAATATTTGCCCCCTTAAATTTATTTACATGTGCATTTTTACTGTTATAGAGGCAAAGTTTTTATTATTTGTATGTCATCTTTTATGTCATATTCTTCACAGTGTATTATTAATATAATAAATAAAGCAATAAATGATGGCAAAACGAAGTTACACTTCTAGATTCAAAACTAAGATCGCCAGTAGGTGGCGGCAAGTCACTGTCTAATGAGCAAGGCGAAGCATTCATTCATTCAGTTACGAAGCAAATGGTTGTAGTTATGAAAGGGTTATTAATCAGTTCCGATTATCAGTACTCTCCGAACCATTCAAAGCTGCAGATTCATTCACCAACGATTTCGTTGGAACTATTATTTCCTTGTAAAATATCACAAACAAGATTGACAATATTGTGTTTAAAATGTAGGCTACATTTAAAATGTAAAATGTACACTTAATATTGCCTTTTTTGTTGAACTGTTATATAAAATCAATGTCACATTTGCAGTCTTTTGGATATTCAGGGAAAATTGCATTCTCGTAGGTTTCAGAGCGAAATAAGAACGTATCAGTGCTGGCTTTATAAAATGTCTAATAATCTTTTATATGATTGAATCTTCAATCGAATTATGCCCAATTGTAAGTGACGGAGTATTTTATGTTTCAGTGATTTGATCGCGCCGGCGCCTCGTGCGCACTGATTCATTGCAAACGGCCTGTTCAGTATTAAAATAAAACCTAGAATCACCAATACAGATCAAATGTTACACAGTCCATTTAAATCATCTGTATTATAGTCTGTGCCGCTGTGAGCCCCGGTCCACTCCAGTGCCGCACATTTTTGTTCATAATGCTTTTTTCCCTCTGATATTGGAACGTACAAAGCCCAGTTAATTTAATTGAATAAATAATGGTTTAGCTTCAAATACATTGCGAATATGGAAACATTTGGATTAGTGCTGAATGAGAGTGGTACGTGAGCCCATACTTTCAGTTTCGCTTTAAATTACGTTTTGGCTTCTTTATAGCTATTCTGGGCTTGTCTGCTTTCCTGTGCATAATATGCTATATTTTATTAATAAACTGTGTACCATATTTTGGTTTTAGCCTATACCGTCCTCGTCCATTAGCCTCCCTTAAGCATTTTCTATAGCCTAACGATTTTAAATGGGGGAGAAACGTTTCATTATGGCTATATCTGCTTTACTGATAGTAATGCAATTAATGAGGTCATTAATATTACAATTGTTATTAGTATTAATAATAATTATTAGGCCTAATACCGAATTGGGCTTCCAGTGTCACTGTTATAGTAGCCTACATTAAGCCACATTAAGTGTT